GTGTGTGTGTGTGTGTGGGTGGTGCTTTGCAGCTGCGGTGAAAAGAGAGCCCTGGCCAAGTGCATAGTCAATGAAGACACTGTGTGTTGAAGCCTCCACGCTGTGCCGCAGTGTCCTGTAATGTGTCCAGGCAGGACATTGGAGGAATGTGGAGGCAGCAGAGCAAAGACACTGACTGCAGCAGGGAGAGAGGGAGCAGAAGGTCCAGGTCAATAATATTTCCTGGAGCGATTAATAAACCCTGACATGTCCCGCCCCACTCCATGGGGAAAACTGATGAGAGAATTCTAATGAGAGAAGAGGAGGAGTGTGCTACCCCCTTCTATCCAGGCCTCTTCCCTCTTTATCCCCCCTCTTTAAGGCTCTCTCTGCAAATGTCACAAGCTTGGATGAGGGGGAGGATATTGAGATGAGTTTGTACAGTGTGTGAATCCTAAGGGTAGCACTATGTGTATAAGACTCAAGGTTTTGTGGTGTGGAAATTCACACATGACGCTGTTTGGGACTTTCCACGACACAAGCTGCATTGAATTTTATGTAAGCTGTGTCTGTTTGTTTGTGTGTACGATGGCTCAACAGGGACACCCAGCAGAGTGCTCATAGCTAGCCCTAAGGCTGTGTCTTGTGTTGCTGCTCCTTGTAAGCATCCCCTAGTTCCTGGCTCCCTCTCTGTAACCTCTGGAGATGTCACTCTGTCACATCTTAACCCTCCAACCCTTGCGTGGCTCAACTGCTCCTGGGGGACCACAAGCTGCTCATCCCCGCTGCTCTTCAGCTTTTCACATCTTGTCACTGCAGTGGTCTGTAGCCTGACCTCTTCAACATCTCTGAGGAGATCACCAACTTCCTTTCCTCTGTCTTTGTGGGGAAATGTTCCTCACATAACTATAAATAGCACTGCTTCCTATGGGTATCTAATCTCTTTTTCTTTATTTCTCCTCACTCAGCATATACCAGCAAGGACCTCAAGTCTCAAATTAGACTATTAGTATTAAACATCATCATCAGGTCAGACTCTGGGCAAACAGCTATCATTGCACTGTATGTGTGTGCTCTCATCTGTGTATTGTCCTTTCTCTACTTAGCACTCCGCAGCTAGTCACAAACCATCAGCCATAATGAAAATAGGTCATGGGAGATGTCAGCTCGGGGGAAGTTCTAAGGCGTCCTTATTTTCCGATAGGAGACATTTGCAAGTAGCCTTGGGGAAGGGTATTGTCCTGGCCAACTAGACAGCAAGTTATTTCAGTGGTATTTGTGTCCCGAGTCACCCAGGCATAGAGTTCGCTCTGTCTCACGATGGGTCAGTGTCATCCTGGGCTGCTGAATAGGAGGTCAGCTGTATTGAGAGGAACTGCAGGTCAAACGCCAATTTAATACGATAAAGGTAGAGAAATGAAACTTATTCCTAACTAACCACTGCAGATATAATTTAAGAAAACATATGCTACATGAGGATATAATGGGATATTTTGCAATCTGCAAGGTTGATATCGGCTGATGTTAGCTCACTGTATTTATATCAGTATAAGTGTATATCGGCCGATGCGTAACAAGAAATTGCATTATAGAAATGCCAAATTAGGTTTGAGGTAATTTAGTAACAGTGTATAATTTGTCCAGCAGAGAGCACTAACAAGTTGATTTTTCAAATGTAAAATATCACGTTAAATATATACCTTGGGCGCAAAAAAAAAAACTAAAATTCTTAGGGCTGGCAAAAAATGTATCAACTTTCATTGAACAACATTGTGATTATCATTTCACAAAATGATGTTGTCCGTTTAAAAAATTGCAACAACATTTTTTGTTTGAGATGGATGAAGACGTGTCTGATATACAGCAGAACACAGTTTAGTGCCCCAATGAGAGTAACAGCAGCACCAGCTACATATCTGATTGGTACATTTCTGCATTGATCCTGTATATGATAACACCTCAACCACTGTTATGTGTTCATAGAGACCTCCAGCATCTGGTATGCATTGTGTAACTCCCAGCTCTGTCTCCACTGATTACACCCTGCTACCTCTGAATACCTGCATACCTCAAAGCATATAAACAAGAATGTAGACATGCACAGATATCATCATGTCAAAGTACACAGACAGGCAACAGAGAATACAAACAGGCCACTACAAGGCATCTCTCTTTCTCCAAACATGAAAAAAGGCAGTGTGGGAATTCTGACTCATGGTGAATCTTGTGTCGTTTATAGTCCCAAATGAAAAATCTGATAAATGCTTTACGCTGACAGTGTTTTGTTTTGGAGGATGAGCTATCACTCTCTGTGGACTTGTGTTTTCCTTGTGGTGTGCTTCCTGCTCTGTCATTCTTTCAGTCTGGGGTTTAAAAAAAACCCTGAAGTGACATAATGATACCCCTGCAGCTCTCCACTATTGTCTCACTAATTAGCCCCAGAAACCTAACCATCAGAAAGGACAAGCTTGTTACAATTAGAAGTTAAGACAGAGAAATTGGCTGTCTTTGCCTCTGACAGGAAACACGGTGTTCCCTGGCATCGGGTCTTCCTGTGGACAGACCACTGTCAGTTCAATTGAATGTGGTTTCTCTGGGCACAGAGTCGCTCTGTCTCTTCAAATACATCAGCTGTGGAATTTGGAAAATGGGTGGTGGGTGTAGGGGCGATGTGACAGGGTGAGCGGGCTGGGCACTAGGTACATTGTGTCCTCTGAGCAAAAAGCTGCCAGACTGTTTACCCTTCAGGCCACAAGGTTTGAAACCTGCAAGAAGGCTTATTAGGGGTAAAACAACTAGTAACCTAAAACCTGCTGTGCATTTTCTCACTGCTGTGTTCAAAACATGTTTGCAACCATCTCAGTTGCTTTTCTTGCAGAGAATTAGATGAGACGATTTATATCACTCTCATGTCAGTACGGAAAATGTAAAGCTACAGCTAGGAGACGGTTAGCCTATCTTAGTATTCAGATTGGAAACAGCTAGGCTGCCTACCAGCACTTAAACAGCCCTCACTACATATCTTGGTCACAATTCTTTATTAGCAAAGGTATTGGATCCTCATCAGATTAACTTGAGCAGTCCTACTTTATCATTTGCACGTGTGGTTGTGGGTGATAGTGTTAGTGTAACGTCAGCAGGGCCCTCCTCCACCATTTAGGTTCAATATACTCATCCTCATGAGGACCTCGATTTAAACCAAGATCAAGCGACATGTTCGCACAGCGCTTGTTGTGGTGCTACCACAGAGTTACTTGTGAGCAAAATAGAGAAGCCTTGTTATAGAGCAAAGCTGCAAGAGTTGATCAGTTGGATATGGAGTCATGCTGTGGCTGGATGATATATTGTGTTTGTTTATGTAACTACAGTAACAGGTTTTGGATTTTAGTTGTAATGGTTGGTAGAAAAAGGGGAAGATGTGTGAGGGAGACGGTAATGTTGTAGGTGTGTGTGTGGTCACAATGTGTCGTTGCCGTCGGACAGTACTACAAACTTATACATGTATTTTCTGTGGTTGTTCGTGACGCGAATTTAATAAATCACCAAAATCATTAAAAGTTTTATCAAGTGGCATTATGGGAAGTGTAAGATGCAATGATTCTGCATCAGGACCCATTATATGGACTAAAATTAAGAATACCTCAGCCTCTAAGGTATATTTTTTTAATATTTTCCAGTTCACCAACATTATTAAAATGCCACACAAAATGACTGGAGTACTCTTATAATTGTATGTGTTTGGGTATTTAATGTGAGGATATTAATAACCCCTCTAAAAGAACAACAAGCACAGGGTAACTTTGAACCAGAACAATGCAGGAGGTTTAAGTTCACGCTTTCTATTTGAGAATGTGGTCTTCGTATCACCGTGTCTCTCTGTCTCTGTGCTCTCTGCCTTTGTAAACCTGGGCTGGGTTAGCTATTTAAAGGACAGCGCACCACATTCACAGTCTTTACAGAAGAAATGAAGCTGGGGTGTCCATCTCACACAGATGTGCGACCACTTCCCAT